TATTTCTGTCTTCGTGATTCATATTTATGTCTAGTTTCAATTAGATCTTATCAGTTATTTGACCGTCAAAAGGCAACAAAATCGGCGATCTAGCAATTACAAACAAACACTTAAATTTTATTTTCTTATTTTTGATGCTAAAAAAATACTTCATCAAATCTCAGCTAACAAAACTGTGTAATTATTATTCGTGACGATATTTTTGTCATTGAAATGGTATTTTATAACACTAAGATGCTAATAGGACGAGGCATCCTATAATTTCTGTGCCTTATAGTATCCTTCAACCAAAACATATTGTACACAACAAGCTGTTTGGCTGCTGTAATAGATGGTTAGTCTCGTCGTTATGTACCCATGCAGACGACTTTTTGTAAAGTCTACCTCGGTCGAAATATATCATATCTGTGTTTTTAGTATATTATAATTAATGTGTCAAGGGTCTTAAATAAATTACAACTCATTAATATTGTACATACATGAGAAACTTTGAGGTTTTTGCTCAATCAAGCATATACATACGCTTCAGAAGATTTAGACAGATTTGCCCTTTAAACTGGTGTAATATCGGAGTGCTGAAATGTCCAATGTAACCTTTAGACGTTAAGAGTTCTATAGCGATCGATGTCCATTTCTGAAGCGTTTAAATTGAACGTAATAAAGTTGGAAAGTGCTAATTCTTGAATGATTTGTACATATTACCTACTTAATATTATATATATCTCTTTGTTAACTTTTAACAACTAAATGCATGAACGGATCGTAATAAAAAATTAAAATGACGACAGATTCTATTACGACATAACTGTAATCATCAACTCAATGCATTCGTCGATATTGTAGAGTATTATTGCTTTTCTGACTTTGCATTTATATCTATCTATATATTCGTAGTATGTTGGGATTAATACGAAATATTTAATGGTATAAACTGTTTACCTCTCTCGACGTTTCGATTAGGTTGCACTAGTTGTGGTTAATAACATAGACATCTCGTGCTATATATTTAAGTCGAATTATGTGATATTATTGCAGGAAACCTGTGCAAAATAATTTCACAGTGCGGAATTAGCTTGAACAATATCGTACCTATCATTAACTTACCTTGCTAAGCTGACCCATCTTCTGCTCACAAAAGTAATATATTTTCCCGATTTTGCATCATTTTTCATTGACGCTTGTTTTATATTGATTGTCTATAGCTATTAACTAATTAATTTCAATTCAAATCAGTAGTTCAAACAAAGTCTTCAACTTCATAATGTTAGTGTAGTATAAATTCAGTCAATCTATATTAATATTATAAAGATACACCCATTCAATAAGATTAACTTTCACAAAATCACATCTATAATCCAAGTTAATAAAACAATAAACATCGGACGATATTGATAAACGCAGACATGTTCATTTCCTTTGCGATATATAAATAGGTATTTCAAATTGACATGACAATCACTTTAAGCAAAAAATGCAATATTACTTGCGAAGCCAATATCTTAAACACAATCGTTTATTGTTTCTTAAGTATTTTCCCTTCAATCCAGACATACCGAAGTGAATTTCATTTCATAAGACCAAGTTTTTTTCCAGCTTATTGCACTATGGAGTATTGGAGGAGACCGAAGTTTAATGACGCTACCCGCAGTTTAATTAATAACTGGAAAGTTGGCTACTCAGCTGTTTGCGGCTATATTATTCATGCATTGATAGACTTGGACTTTAATTTTATATAAGTATTTAGAATAAACATTTATGCTATGTTTGTTAAATTATATATTTACTATTTATTTGACTCTTAATTGTAGTCTATAGAAATATTATAAATACGAAATTGTGTATGTCTGTGTATATTATAGTCTGACGGGATTTTTTATGTTACTTTATCACTGACTGGACGACTGAATGGATCTGATTGTTAGTGAATTTGATATGAAGAAGATAAATAGTATTACGAGGACAAATATATTTAGAAGGGTGGTGAAAATTTCTACAGACGAATTCGCGGATAACAGTTCAACAGTAGGAGGGAACAAAGAATATAATTTTATAGCACTTAAAATCTGTATGCTAAACTTGATTGTTTATCATTTTATATATTGTTTACCAATTATTTTCTTTCGAGTATGTTAATGTGTACATTACGCTGCACCCAAAGATTTATTTTTTTTGCAAATTGTTTTCCTTGTATAGAATATCGTAAAATAATCAAACTTGTTCTATTCTGTATCCCAGATGACATTAAACCGTGTTTATGCTATCACATAATATAACACCCATAAATGCGAATATTGATAGGTTTGACACAACTAATTTAGATCTTCATACAGATAACATAATAGCGTCCTTTGTTCCTATAATCAGGAGATAGTGGACCGTTAATGGGTATTTCACAATGGGCCGAATGTATAATCCGAGTTTACAATTATTGTCTCTGTGCTCGTAATTACATTTTGTTACTGATTTCATTAATGTTTTTGGAAGAAAAATTTGTTTAATTTATATATAATAAGCTCTCGTTTGTGTGAATAATATGTAATTAATAATTATCGTCATAATGTAGTTACGACGATAATTTATTTTTTATATGAAATTGGTGATGATAGTCCTGATAATAAGTGGCATCCGGAACATTAACCAATATACCTGATATACTATGTGATGCCCATAATATCTGTCTTTAATTCCGGAGGGCTAAGACGTTTCTTATATTTTTAAAGGATTATGCGTTCCCCGCCTGCACTAACTGTATGCGCTTACTGGGCACCAGTGCAAAGCTCTTTGTGTTGAATTTACCAGGAATCACCACGACTTAACCACGGCTACTAACAATTCCTTTCCCCCTAGACTAAGTACTCATATAGTGCTAGTTAATGACAAGTGATAATTAAATAGAATTTACCTAAAGTCCATAAGTTTTGCTTAATTAGGGATTAATTGATGCTGGATATAAAATCTAATAGAAGTAGCTAGTAGATTCATTAATTTCATTAATACATGTTTGTAAATTCGGATTCTTTTACAAATAGAATGATATCTTCCTACGTATTTTTGGCATCTATGAAGTAAATAAAGGATCCTAGACATACCAAAGGGTCTTCGATTTGTCTTTTAACTCTTACAATATTTAGAAGCTCTGAATTTTTCATGCCGCGTTACACTACAGCGACCGAGTAACTGACTATAAATCACACTTATTTCCCTTGTTTTGTCGTTCTGTATATTGATATTATATAAGTTAGGAAATAAATATTTTTTGAAGCATTTCAAAAGCAAAAATATTCTTGCACCAATTTTCTGTGAAATATAGGAACTGTAGTAATAACTGATATATCAATACACTCTTATTTAATCTGTTTTAAAGAAGATACAATCCAAAGATAAAATAAATCATGATCTAACAAAAGATTGCATTGGAGTCATAATTAATTTATAATACACAAACATATCACATATTTTTAGAATATCTCATATATTATTCTTCTTATATTATATCTCAAGTCAATATTAAGATCAAATAAATAATCAGATTTACGACATTGCTCTGTTTTGACTTTTATTCTTTTATTTTAGTTGTTTTATTTTTAACTTAGATGCAATAGTATGTAATGCAAGTAGAAATCATGATTGGCAATAGATATATTTTAAAGATAACTCAAACTAGTGCATTTAAATCGAGTAAAATGTCTATTGTTCTTAAGAAATACTAATAAAAAATGTAGATTAATGCTTCAGTTCAGATTACAAGTCCACGTCGCGTCGGCTGCGTAAATAAAGTTCAAATGCTCTTGTACGAGCTAGCATCGTACATTATTTCGCAACATTAACATTTTATTTTACATTTCACATTTCATTAAAATCAGTTCGCATTCGGTCATCAAGGACGCCGCGCGTACTCATTACATTCATTAATCAGTTATATTTTAAGTTTCAATATACAGTTTTAATCAAGTTTCTATCAGTATCATTCATCATTTTTACCTATCAGAATCTTTATAGTTTCGGTACAACCCGAACATTGGTCCTTCGAGCTTTTAGAAAAAGCGGGACCTTTACACGTGATTAGTTCGGTGAACTTTATTCGTGTCAGTGGTTCCGCGCAGCAACCTATTGGACAAAGTACATTGCTACACGTGTTGTGTACTAAGTTCTGGAATAGCAAGGTTCCAGATAACTTCACCACGCAGAACTATCAAGAACAGCTTCAACTCAGAACAACAACAAGGTTTTGAGTCATCAGTTAAGTATCACAGAGACAGCAAGCATCGTGGTCATCAGGTATCGTGAGAACAAGCTCACGCAAATACCAATTAGTAAGCAGCATCTCTCAAGTAAGATTTATCATTTTATTTTATTTTAATCATGGGCGTAATGGAAGACATCCTTACCAACCAACAGCAGATCGCCAACGCAATTGAACAGCTTTACAGTAATTTTAAAAAAGACAGTACTGAAAGAAAATCTCCAGATTATTTGCAACGTCGGCTAGATATTTTAAGTAGTTATTGGGCAGAATTTGACAATAACCATCAGAAGCTATTAGAGTTGGGTATAGAGAATCATGTATATGTTATTAAAAAAGAATATGAAAGGGTGAGGGGCAGGTATGAGCTAATCAAAATGTATATTCAAGATTATCAGCCAACGACAGCAGATAGACCAAGAACTCCGGTATTAAAGGCACCAATTTTTACTGGTCAGTCGCACCAACCATCGACATCTTCACGTGGAACGAACAGCAGAACAGAAGATATGCTGAAAAAACAATGTGCTAATTTTAAAGCGTTCCAACGTACAATATCAAACATAGACTTAAGTTCAATAACAGAGAAATGGGAGTTCGACGACTTATTACGCACCTTGCAGAGTCGTTGGGCTACTATATATCGTTACACTGGGAACTGGAAAGCGAGTTAGAGGGGTCTAACCAGGAATATGAACAGACTTTTTACAATTATGAAGGGGAGTTTAATAAAATAAAGAAGGCACTAAACAAGAAAATGTGGGCGATGGTACACACAGCAAATTCAACCCCTCAGTTGGACATACCTACGTTCCAAGGAAATTATAATAGTTGGGTTTCCTTTAAAGATCTCTTTACGGAGAGTATTCATAATAATCCCTCCATGTCCAACGCACAAAAAATGCAGTACCTGAAGGGAAAAGTAAAAGGGGAAGCAGAAAGGCTTATTCAACATCTTCAGATCAGTTCTGATAATTATTCTGTGTGTTGGGATATACTCAACCATAGATATAATAATACAAAATTAATATTTACATCGCATATTAATACATTGATGAACATTCCATTGATGCAGCAGCAATCATTAAACCATATTAAACGCATTCATGACACATCGATGGAATGCTTGAATGCCATTAAAAATTTAGGAATAGATACTGGAACATGGGACCCATTGTTGGTACATATATTAGCACAAAAGTTGGATAGTGACACATACAATGACTATATGGAGTCATTAAAAAACCCTAGAGAATTACCTATATTAAAAGAATTTTTGAAATTTTTGGAAACTAAATTCACAACATTGGAGACCGCACGTAAAAAACAAGACAACTATACATCAAAACCTAATAGTCAATTCACAAATCAAGGAGGTGCATATTATAAAAATCCATTTAATCAGAAACATAATTTTAACAAAAATACCTTTTCATCAAGTGTACAAAATTCCTCATCAAATAAAAACCTACATGTTAGTTTAAATACTAAATACAACTGTCCAGTCTGTAATTCCAGTGACCATGGAATTTATTATTGTCGGAAATTTTTAGAAATGCCTGGTTATATGAGAAGGAAAACAGCTGCCAAATGAAATCTATGTAATAATTGCCTTTATAATCATAATGGAAAATTATGTTTTTCAAATAATAGATGCCGTGATTGCAAAAAAGATCACAATACATTATTGCATCACGCGTTTACCTATAGCAACAAGACACCCGACGCGAACATTACTCCATCGAGTTCAACGACTGCACCGAATTATGTGCAAAGCAGGTCACACGCGACACTAGAACGTGATACTTCCGAAATTTTGCTTGCCACTGTAGCAATCAAGGTACAGGCTGCAGATGGTACATACCACAGAATGCGTGCTCTTCTCGATCAGGGCTCTCAAACATCATTAATAACTGAAAACGCGGCACAGATATTAAAAATACCACGTCAAAGATGCAAGGGGGTAATTTCAGGAATAGGTGATAAGGAAAACAGTTGTAGAGGAGCAATCACAGTAAATTGTTCCTCACTAAACAGCGATTATACATTTCAAACAGAAGTATATATTATGAAAAATCTAATCAAGAATTTACCAAGTTATACTTTCACCAAACCAAGTTGGCAGTATTTAGATCATATCAAGTTAGCAGACCCCGAGTTTTTTATCAGTAAACCAGTGGACTTATTGCTGGGAGCAGACGTTTATTCAAATATAATTATGGATGGTTTATGTCGGTCTGAGTCGACATTGCCAGTAGCACAACAAACACAACTAGGGTGGATTTTAAGTGGCCATACTACAACATATCATAAACAATGTAATGTTATATTACACAACAGTGAGGACATCAGTCGTTTTTGGGAGATAGAAGATATCTCAGACCGGTCAGATATGACGATTGAGGATCAAAACTGTATAAAATATTATCAGTCGACAACTAAGAGGCGGGAGGATGGAAAATATGAAGTGCGATTACCATTAAAATCAGATTATCAAGAAAAGTTAGGAAATTCTAAAAATAAATCTATTGCACAATTTTATCAACTGGAAAGAAAATTCAATAATAACACTCAAATTGCATCCAATTATAAATTATTTATTAACGAGTATTTATCGCTCGGTCACATGACACCGGCGACCACCACAGTCGGTAATATGAGTATCGCTAATTATTTACCTCACTTTTGCATATTACGGGATTCAATTACAACTCAATTAAGAGTAGTTTTTAATGCCTCCGCTAAAACTACAAGTAACTACAGTTTAAATGATGTGATGTATAGAGGTCCAAATTTACAACAAGACTTACAAAGCCTTATAATTAAGTGGCGTCAATATAAATACGCATTTACAGCAGATATAGAAAAGATGTTCAGGCAAATCTGGTTAAATTTAAAAGATCAGAATTTACAAAAAATAATTTGGAGGGAGAACAAAACAGAAGAGTTAAAGGAATATAATTTAGCAACTGTCACATACGGGACTAAGGCCGCGCCATTTCTCGCCATGATGACACTTAAACGTCTAGCGCAAGATGAAAAAATACACTACCCCAACAGTTCCGCTCCACAAATTCTAGAAGAATCTTTCTATATGGATGATCTTCTTCATGGCACTCATTCTACACAAGCAGTACAATTGAAACAAGATATGATTAATCTCTTAAAAGCAGGTGGATTTAATTTAAGGAAGTGGAAGTCAAACTTGTCTGAGTTATTAGATCAAGAAAACAACAGCAAAAATCAGGAGAGTTTTAACTTCAAACAAGCGAGTCAACAAAGATACTTTTACTTTTAATTCAGCAAGTTTATTACAAGCGACATCTTTAAGCGCACTCTTTTATCAAATATATCTAAACTGTACGACCCATTAGGATGGTTGTCACCTGTCACTACAACACTAAAAATATTATTTCAAGATGTATGGCAATCAAACATAAAGTGGGATGAACAGGTACCTAATGAAATTTGGGAGAGATGGTGTAAATTCAAAGAAGATATAAACTCGATAGAGCATTGTAAGGTGCCTAGGTGGCTACATACAGAGGAAAATGAGTGCATAGAGTTACATGGATTTTGTGATGCGAGCACAAAAGCATACGCCTGCGTTGTTTATTGCAGAGTAAATAAAACAATTATTTTGGTGGCCGGAAAGGCGAAAGTAGTACCTTTAAATAAAAACACATCTCTACCTCGATTAGAGTTATGCGCCACCGTCTTACTTTCCAAATTAATTACAAAAATCAAATCAGGTCTTAATAATTGTAATATTAAATTATATGGTTGGACAGATTCGATGGCAGTTTTAGGTTGGTTGCAAGGAGATACAGATAGATGGAAACCATTCGTAGCCAACCGTGTGAAACAAGTCACGTCAATTATGCCATCGTCGTGTTGGAGTTACGTTCAATCGAAAGAAAACCCGGCTGACTGTGCTAGCCGTGGTCTCACTGCATCTCAGCTTCGAGAACATATTTTGGTGGAATGGACCAAAGTGGTTACCTACATATCAGCCTACTAAGGAGAAAAATATAACAAGTTATACAACAAATCAGGAATTAAAAAATAAAAATGTAATGACTGTAATAAAACCATACCCGAAAAACGATATTATAAGCATTATATTAACTAGATGTAGTAAACTAAGTAAAGCAGTAAATATTTTAGGATGGATTTTAAGATTTATTAATAGGAAAAATAAAAATAAGCAACATTATTTAACTATACAGGAATTGAAGGATGCTAGAGAAATAATTATTAAAGAAGTGCAGAGAGAAGAATTTTTTGAGGAAGTGAAAGCTTTAAAAGCAAACAAGTGCTTAAAAAATAACAGTAAACTCATCGAATTCAATCCAATATTAGATGGAAACGGTATACTTCGAATTGGTGGAAGACTGAGACATGCCAATATAGATCTTGAAACAAAACATCCTGCGATCATTCCGAGTAACACAAGATTGGCGGACCTCATGATTGACGAAGCACATGAGCTGACATATCATGGCGGAGCTCGTTTAACAACTGCAATTATGAGGCGTAAATACTGGCTTGTAGGTGGAATTCGAGCTACCAAAAAATATACGTCTCTGTGTAAAATGTAGGAGACAAAGTCCAGAACAACAGTACCAAATTATGGGAGATTTACCACCTGCACGCACCAATCGTTCTCGACCATTTCTACATACAGGCGTCGACTATACAGGTCACATATTAATTAAAGCCAACAAGGGCCGTGGTATCAAGACCACAAAGGGATATGTGGCAGTATTTGTTTGTATGTCTACGAAAGCAGTACATCTAGAACTTGTATCAGATTTGACAACGTCTGCATTTTTAGCTGCGTTGCGACGGATGGCGGCAAGGAGAGGCGTACCCCGTCACAGTTACAGTGATCAAGGAACAAATTTTATTGGGGCAAACAGAATATTACAGGAGGAGTATAATCATTTAACAGAAATATTTAGCAAGGAGTTCATGTCAGAAGTAACAAACATGGGTATAGAATGGCATTTTAACGCTCCTGCGTGGCCCTCGGCAGGAGGATTATGGGAGCGGTCAGTACAAACCCTAAAATATCATCTTAAGAGAGTAGTAGGCGAACAGAAACTTACATTTGAGGAATATAGCACGGTGCTCTCCCGGTTGGAGGCATGTTTAAATTCAAGACCTCTTTGTCCTATGACAGATGCCCAATGATCTAGATATTATTACACCTTCTCACTTTTTAGGATGTGGTCCCACCTTAAACATCTGTGAAACAGAAAATGACTTAAGAACGAGATGGCATCTAACACAGAAAATATTTAAAGATATCTGGGATCGATGGAGTAATGAATATCTTACTCAACTAGCAGCCAGAAGTAAGTGGAGAAAGCCTCAACAGAATATAAAAAATAATGATATTGTAGTAATCAGAGATGAAAATCTACCCCCGGGGAAATGGGCTATGGGTCGCGTAGTTGAAGTGCACCCAGGTAGTGACGGACACGTGAGAGTAGTCACACTTAAAACTAAAAATGGAATTATAAAACGTCCCATTGTTAAAGTATCACTACTACCTGTAAACACAGAGCAGATTGAAAACCAGAAAAATATAACAGAAATTCAGGAATCAACTTTAAATAACAAACCTAAGCTAGAAAGACGAAAAGGGGTATTCAGCTTATTAACATTAGCGACATCACTACTATTATTCTTATCTATCATATCCAATACACATGCAACATTCAACTTTACCACATTTTCTAAAACTCAAGCTTTATTCTTCGATAAATTAAATACAATCATATGTTGCTCAGTCAGCATTATAACGAGCAGGTGAAAAAATACGCAAGGCGGCGTCTGCCGATATCTTATCGACGGTGTCGGTTACATCGCCAGTTCCCTATTCGGAGTATTGGATCAAAGATTCGCCGAAAAGTATGAGATGGACATTACTTTACTACGAGACAATCAGAAAAAATTAACATCATTCTGGAAAAATCAAACATCGATCATGGAGGCTGAGTATAACATCTTAAAGCGAACAGAAAATACTATGACTCAGCAACATAAAATGATAAATCAACATATTATAAGTTTAGAACGCGAAATTAGTACCATAAAAAGTGAGACACAAGATAATTTCATAGTAAATCAGTTTACCTTAGCATCAGTCATTGCAAGCAACTTACTCAGCAATATGAAAACCTTACAAGGTACTATCTTAGATACAGTGACAGATCTCTATCATGGCCGATTTAACCCTCATATTCTACAACCAGAACAATTACAGAAAGAACTAAGCATTATAGCGAGTCATTTGTCTAATGACGTCATATTACCAACAGAAAGCATACATACTGACCTCACTCAAATATATAAATTACTTAAAGTTAAAGCAAGAATGTTACAATCATACCTCATATTTGAAATAAGACTACCGCTAATTAGCAGAGATTCATTCGAGATTTTCAGTTTATTCTCAATACCGAAAGTTACAGGAAACAAAATGATCAGAATTATACCCATCTCAAAATACATAGCTATAAATTTGAAGAAAGATACATATATCACAATGTCGGAATTCGATATAAAATCATGCCTTATTGTAGATGCACATTTATGTTATATTAAAAAACCTATATATCAAATTAATACAAATCAAGAATTTTGTGAATCAGAAAATTCCACTTGCAAAACGATCACTAGCAAATGCGAAAATATGTGGGAAGAAAGCAATGAACTTAATAATTATATTTATTTTTGTTGCAATCAGTGTCAAGTACGAGCAATGTGTGGAGATCAGGTTACCGTACATATGCTCACTTATGCGGGATTGAGCACTATAGACAGTGGATGCATCATCAAAACCGATAATTTCACTGTTACATCACATTATCAGCATTCAAATAAATTAAAGATATCACCAGATATATACTCACCCACAGTCGCACCGATAAACCACATCATTAACATATCTATTCCTCATCACGAGTGGAATGACATATCGAATTCGGAAAGTCAGCAACTCACAGAAATTGGAGAAAGAATTAAGTTCATGAAAGAGAACGAACCCGTACTATCAGATCACATAACTTATCATGACGTACATCACTATACTTTAATTTATATAATTATCGCCGTGATGGTGTTAGTCGGCGTAATCTATACATTGCGTCGATTACGCAATTGGAAGGTCCCTTCGACGAGCACAGCATCGCCGACTGTGGCGGTTGGCATGGCCAGCTCTCCCGCGCCCCAACCCCGTGCGATGGAAACAGCAAACAGTGATAGTGTTAGTGAATGTGACAGTGTAGTCTATCAAACTGTCAAAAAGACATTTGGACGTCCTAAATTGTGCGTGGAAAATAAAGCAACTTCACCACATTTTCGTCCTCAATTTAGTAATTAAATTAGGATGGCTTCAGTTGCTATGATAGTGACCGGATTTCCAGTTCTTGGATGGTGGCGCTGCAAGCGGGCGCTCCCCCGCCATCGATCAGTGTTAGTGTTAGTGTGTGTGTCTGTGTAGAAAATAAGTGTAGTGCCCGTGATATCAGTGAATACCAGAGAAAGTGCGTGTGTCTTAGAGCAAAACAGAAGCACATCGTCTGTGCTAAGATCAGTGTACGCCATCCCTAACGCGTGTGATCTTGTTAAATCATTCGACTTACTAACAAAATCATTAGCATGCTATCTGTAAGAAACAATTGTACATCATCTTGTAAGTAGTAATTAAGGTCACAACCACAGCATCCCCATTCACATCTTCTTTCGCGCCTGGGAATATGTACGAGCTAGCATCGTACATTATTTCGCAACATTAACATTTTATTTTACATTTCACATTTCATTAAAATCAGTTCGCATTCGGTCATCAAGGACGCCGCGCGTACTCATTACATTCATTAATCAGTTATATTTTAAGTTTCAATATACAGTTTTAATCAAGTTTCTATCAGTATCATTCATCATTTTTACCTATCAGAATCTTTATAGTTTCGGTACAACCCGAACAGCTCTAACACAAAAAATAAAGTAACTATTAAATTCTCCTCTTCATTCATTTCTCGGCTTAATTAAACACTGATAATTATAATTAAGACCATTAATTAACTCGCAAATTTTTACGTTTAATTTGTGTTAATTTTTTTCTTTCATTCATTTTTAACTTCCTTTTAAGTATAAGTAGCGTTGAATTGAAGCGTTTTTATAATTAATGTTTAATAAAGTTGTATGAGTGTGAAGTTATAAGGAGATCTATGAGATTGACAAAGAAGTTGGTAGATACATTTTACACTACTTTTGTTTTATTATATTTTGATGTTAATTAATTAGGGATGAATGATTTTAATTTTAAACGTAATGTTGTATTTACATTTTGCAGTATCATTATTTTAATACGTGAAGCAACAAATGTGTATCTCTTTTTGAGGAAATCGCGCGGATGGAGGAGTATAAAATTTCTAATGCTAATATATTTATGGAATTTTTTAATATTTTATAAATTATAGATAGTTATAATTTACAAACTATATTAGAATTGAATAAATAAACAAACCATTACACACACACACACTTATAGAAGTATATAGTTTTCGCAAATAGAATGTAATTATGGTCGAATTTCGAGCACTTACTACGTGTGTTGCAACAAGAAGAATGTAATAAAAAAACAAGAATACTTTTAGCACTAACTTGAAAATATCGATTTTCACTGTCTTTGTAATAATACACTGTAATAAATTAATTCTTTTTAAAAGTAGACAAATAGTTCATCTAAAATATTCGTCCTACTTTTAATAAAATCAATTAGTATTTATTAATGAGAATTAATAAAAAAAAACTGAATCAGTGGTCATTTTTAGTAGTGATATCGGATTAGGGCCATGTAATAGAACTAATTTTGAAATAGCTTAATTGAAAAAAAATACATCAAGTACTTGAAAGACAAACGTCCCTGGCTTTAGTAGATCATGCACGGTATTCTAAATTCGTTTTCAATGCTGAATAAATTCGTTTATACCCACACAGAACAACCACCCTGTTATATATTATAATTTATTTATCTAAATAATCCACCTATTACGATGGACTATATTGAGACATCTATTATTTCTTAGTATAAATTAGGTAGATTTATTTTGGGGATAAAGTAATGGCACTTTTGTGCACCTGTCTCCAGTAAACAAAGTGCTTTATTTGAGTCTATTCGCATCACAAATTTTTCTCCACAGTTTTCTCGGCAATTAAGGAAGTGTATGGAGCTAAGATATGCGTGAAAAAATGAAAGAATGAACATAACTCATAATTATCCTGATATAAAAATAATACAGTGTAAAACTAAAGAGCTGTAAAAATATACCGTATATTGCGATGGCATTTTTTCTTGTACCTAACATCTGGGAATAGCTTAAACTAGCTGTCTCGCACCTGTTTCTGTCGGCAAGTAGTTTGCATAACGTTAATGTTGTTTTTGCATAACGACTACTTTAATTTAAATTAAGTTGTACTTCTGGTGTTGTAAACATTCACGGGCTGTATTTTACTATAAACTTTTAATAAATTGCGTTTAAATAAATAGTATATTATGTACCTTAACTTTTTTTATATTTAGATTAGATAAGTGACGTTGTAGTAGTTTTAGTGTTGTACTGAAAATGAACTACCATGAGTACGCTGAATTGAAAAGAAACTTTCATTGCATCGTATTCCCGGCTTAATTAACCGCGCCGATAAGTAGCTGGGACAGGAGAGGTTCGTAGAAGCGTCATTAATTTGCCCCCAAAATAAACGTTTTCTCATTATTCTACGTCATTTGTCTACGTCCAGTGAGCTTTGTGGGTCGGGTAGGGAAAAAAATGTCTTTTTTAGAGCTTTGCTTTTTTTCATATTGATAGATCGACATTTGCGACGTGGGAATAGAAATTTTCTGTTATTGGATTATCACGCTTTGTTAGTGAGCCGGTTGTCTATTTTTGTTGGAGTGACAGATTTTTGTTCGATTTAAATTACGGCTTTCGTTTGTGAGCAGATAAAGTACTATATCAATCACTTCTGTCCATGATATTCAAATAATTTACTTTGACAAGAGGGAAGTAGAATACATTGTACCAGGAAATATGATTTCTGAGTATGAATTACAGTACGCTTTCAATGTATTTCACGGTTAAGATATCTTTATTTAAAGATAGTAAGTAATAAAAGATAGTAAT